TAATGCCGAGGTCGCCTTCATAGCACGAAGCCGTTTTGTTTTGGCAAAGCTGGCTTCGTGAGTGTCGTCGTCGTCCTCATGAGCACGCTTGGCGCCCGTCAAGTCGCGAAACACGGCCAAATCTCCTCCGCCAAGGCGGTTCGAGCGACTGCTCATCTCTGGGTATTTTGCAGCTTCGATCTCGTCCCGCGTTCGGGTGTCACGCCCCTGACTCGTCTGTGGCTGCGCGGTGGTGTCGACATTGGACCGAGTCTTTCGCGGCGGCTGTAGACCAGCGGAGCCAGGGCGACGAGTTGGCGGTGTAGGACGGGGTGTATTGGCAGCTCCGTCGAGACTATTAGCAACGAATGGCGATGACAGCAAGTCCTGAAACTCGCCTCCGCTCATTTCCGCGGACCCCAAAGTAACAGACTCGTCCGTGGCGGTGTCGGTAGCGATTGGCTCACTCCTCACAGACCCAGCATGTGCGACGCGCAGGATGGACGGATCGTCATCTTCGTAGAAAGTTTGGTCAGGTTCAACGTCGAAGCTGAAGTCGGGCTCCACGGTGCGTTGATCTACGTCCGCTTCGTCGTCAAGCTCGATGACGCTGGCCTTGTCGTCAATTGCCTGCTTGGCCTCCTTTGCTTTCTCGATGTGTGGTGGCATGCTGGCCACCCCCGTCGATTTGCGTGTGCTGTATAGCACTTTAAACTTCCGACGAAGGCTTTCGAAGTCGCGTTCAGGTGCTCCACGCGGTCGGTTCGCGTTGAATGAGACCGCGAGGCGCTCCCATTCTTCCTTCCCCAACGGCAGAACCTTCATAACGAGACTCAGCATGCGATCGATGTCGGCCATGGAATAGTTGGTGGTTCCTGCGTTCCTGACCATATCTGTATGGCACAACAAGAACATGTTAGTCAAGGTGCGGTTTCAAAGACGAGAGGCCGAGCGGCTGCATACTGATCGAAGGTGGATGTGTTGAGGGCTTCTATGGAGTGAGGAGCTGCTTGGCAGGAGGCGAATTGAAAAATGAGAGACGCAAGCTCCTGGTCGGCGCAGTTCGAACCTACAGAAGAAGCCGCTAGAGCCACCTATCTTTTGCCTTGGATCTTTCAAAGCCATAACTGCAACTTCAACGCGGTTCGCGCGGGAAATTTGCGCGCGAAACCAGTAACGAGTAGCTTGAACGCTACAGCAGAAGCCAGAGATGGCGCAAATGCTGAATCCAAAGCAACTTCACGCCGGCTGTCTAGGCTCACGTTCGAATTTCACTCGGTACAACTATGAAAAAAACGAAGTTAAACGAAAGATACTCAAATTGACTTCAAATACACCTGCTCGTTAACTATGGCCTTTACTTTGCCGCCCACTTTTCACGGGTCGTCCTCATCCTGCATGTCCCGGTGGCGGCACCCCTCGAAGCCGCACCGGCAGATAAACCAGAGATCATCGCCGTAGTCGACCGTCACCTCCTCCCCGCGGCGAATCACATGAGTGGTGGCCACCACAACAGTGGTGTGACGTCTTTTTGAGACTTCCACAAACTTGGCATTGAAACGACATGAACGGTTGCAAAACCGTATTAGCCCCCCCATCTTTTGCGCGTTGATGACCACGCGGGCGGGGTGGCTTGGACGTGCGGGACGCTGGTTCAGCTCAAGCCGGTATTCTTCGTTGCACAGGCGCTGAGAACGTGGCACATTGATGTGCTCGAGCTCACCCAAATACTGCCCCACCACCTCCCCCGGCCTGATATCCTCACCCGCCACGACGCCCAATACATTCGTCCGCGTGTTCTCCCTCAAGAACACCTTGCTCGACTCAGTCAACATGTTTCCGCATCGCCCTTCGTACGAGCAATTATTCACGTTGCAATACAGGTTGACGAGTGAGATAGGGCACGAATCAACTCGGCACGGGTTCGAACAACCGCACCACCCGTTGTTCGGCACAAACGGGAAGATGATAGCCTGAGGATTGAAAGTCTCGCGCAGGTGGACAACGTCCCGTGGCCATCGAGTAGGCACAAACACGTCGTCCGGCTCGGCCATCTGTAAGAGCGAATGCAGTTTCCTACAGGCGGACGAAGCTTGTGGTTTGGAGTTGCGATACGTTGAGCGCTCCCTATTGTATGGCGCAGCTGCTCGTTGATGTTTACCCCGGGCGCCATAACGTGCCGTCGGGGCCTTTTTCGCGCAGCAACGCGGTGGTGGGTCCTCCAGAAGCACTGGGGATGAAGTGGTCGGGCTCCGGTAGTGACGGGTTGGTGTTTTCGCTGGTTGGGGTGCTGTACCCACCGGTGGTGGGCCTTTATTGCCTTTGGTGCGGGCGCTACGGGTGTCGAAGGGACTCCTAACGCTCTTGATCTGAGCGCTACGGCTGCCAGGAGGGAAACACGGCGATGACATTGTCTGGGTTGTGCTTGAGGACAAGCTTTCACCCAGCTGAACATGACGTTGGGCGGCGAATTCTCATCGCTGCTGGAGGATTCTTCGACGCGCAGCCGCCTTCGATGGACTGCAAAGTATACAGGATTTACCATACGTCTGCAAAGCAAAGGTGCGTCAATTCAATAAACTTACAGCACATTCTAAAAGCAGCAACAAACCTTTTGAGCACAATGCTGCTGTGGTGTCTTCGCAGATTTGAAAGTGATTGAGTGCTGGGTGCATCGGAAGATATATGCTTCAAGGTTAAGTCGCTGGAGTGAGTCTAGAGTGATGGTAATCATAAAATATACAAAAATCAATATAAAACGCTAAGATGGATACACAACATAAATTTAGGTGTAGATTAGAGTCTATAGACACGATATTTATGACTTCGGGTCGGGTATGCGCACCTATGCCTCGACTTATCTGTTGCAAGTAAGTCGGTCGTTTATGTGATATTTGGCAGGCACCCATTTCTTCGTTTAAGTCTTCAAGTCAGAAGCGATTTAGATACTGTACACGGATTCTCTGCCATAGAGTTTAATGGAATCTTCAATGCAATTCTTTACTTTTTCCACCAGTGCTTCGTTTCGCCCTGCAACAACAGCGGAATCGTGCGGCGCCGATAGTTGTTCTTGTGAGTCCTGTATTCAATGCAAGAGAAGAAAGCACTTTGTCTGCCTGAGCGTCATTTCGTGAAGCCACAAAGGGCGCTCTGAACGTAAAGCTTCTGGTCGAACTGCCTCTAGCGTTTACAATTTATTTTTTACGTGAACGAGAGTACGTGATTCAGATTTTTAGGAGCTGTGGCAACAACCTTGTACCACGGTTGAAAGAAGCAGAAACCGTTTACATGTATATATGTATAAAGCTGCCAAAAATACTTGGTGTCGCTATTGTTACTTGATGCATTAATATCAACGAGGGATAACATGCAAACTATTGTGTTGTTCATGATATTCTTTCTGTCTGTATTCCCACGTGTTTTAATGTTCACAGCATACCGTAGCTCTCTACGAAATTTTGCAAGGAATGCGTACTTCGCTCCTAGCGAAGTAGGCAAGTGGCGCGGCGAACCCCGCACCACGCTTCACGTTATTCTTGGTGCAGATCTCGCTTCCAGTTAGGCCGGATTCCGCCTAAGGACTGAACAAGACCTCTTCGAACTTCAACGCGTTGACCACCCCGGCAATAAGAAGGAACTCTCGACTACAATACGTGACGCTTTACCTATGACTGGAGACTCGACGTATGCGAGCACCACTCTATGCCGCCGACTATTATATAAATTGGACTGTTGGGTGAGAAGTTGTGAAGGGGCAAAGTTTGGTGGTGCATTTCATCTCGCCAGTACAATAGCAAAGTTGAGCCTAGCGCAGGTGTAATTTGGCCACGCGAACACGTAATACCTTACCTTACCTTTTACCGTAGCAGTACTCTGACGATTTCAGTGCATCATGTGGCTAAGATAGGCCTCTCCCGTCTAAGGGATCGACTCAAACTTTCTTGTCGACCCTACGCTGTTTGAAGATGTGTGTGGCGCTCACAAACAGGCATAGACTGATGATCAGCTTGAGAAGTGTACTGTATTGTATCAGAACACTCGTTTCCTAGCAATTTCTTCGTGTTGTTGTGCTCAGTTTGTACCCCGCAAATCGCAGCACGCTGTCTTTTTATCTAAATCCCTTTAGGCACGTAGGTCAAATTGACTTAGTAAAACTAAGTTACATAAATTGCTTAACACCATCTAAGGATAAAAGTCCGGCGGGCATTGCGATTTTGCTGCATCCGCTCGCCTCTGTTGATCTTCTTCTACATGTATTTTTATTTGCCGCCCCTTCGTCTCCGGTTGGTGCAATTTCCATACATTTACACGATTTCAATACAACTCGGTAAGTGAAGCCGATCACTTAAAAAGCTGCACTTTGTGCTGCAAATAAAGCGAAAGTAATTTATTAATGGCTCTGTAATCCATACAGTTGTCGAGCACTTCTCTGCACAAAGACCACTAGGTTCTGTTCGATCATGTGGGAAATCGAAGAAGATCTGCGATACCTCCTCTTCTTCTGCATGTACCTTTCCGTGGTCATATCGTATAAAAACAACTTTGTATTCTTATCGAAGGGATCACTGGCGAAGTTAAGCTCTCGAGTTTGATGTCCTCGGGGATTATCCTTACTCGATAATCGAGCTAGTGTCACCAAGATACCAATCGATCCCAAGTCTGTATTTATCAAATACGATGTCAGTCATGGAACTGCTACATCCATCTGAGGACAATCCCCACCGAGGAAGAGTTTAGTGGACAGTCGTGACTTTCCCATGGTAATGCGTCTCATTGTAGTACTTTCTGGTGGCTTTGTATATAATATTACTAAAGAGAGGCGAGAGGGACTATCACCTACTGCTTGGCATAGAATCCCTGTCGGTGGGTATTCCAAGACTACGGATTACTGCATACTGCTGTTGCGTAGTACCATCGAAAACCTCTCGATTCACTGGGTCGCGAGACGTGATTTTATTTTACAAGTCGCCTCCATCTTAACAAGTCCAAAGTAGCGAGCTCCGCTCTCTCCAAGTCGAACTATGCATTCAAGTCTTCTTTGGTTAGGCGCAGTCGTCGCTCTCCTTGCGGTCAATAATGTCACGGCTGTATCGACCGAAGCTAATGGGCAGGTTGCCCTATCTACGAGCAAAGGCCAACTAGCTGGCGAGCGTGCTGAGGAGGAAAACAGCATCGTCAGGTCCCTCCGCGCAGTCGAGACAAGTGAAGACGAAGAAGAGAGGGATTTGCTTGGGCTTTTTGCCAAGAGCAAGCTGAAGAAGATGATGAAAAGCGAAAGCTTCAAGCTGAAGAGGTTTGGAGAATGGGACGATTTCACAGTGGGTTATATTCGTGAAAAGCTCAAAAACAAGTATCCGGACCTCCTTTTGAACTACCTAAATGTCTACAAGAAGGCAGGCAATGAGATCGTTAGACACGCTAACAATCCCAACAAGGTGACTTTCTCGAACAAAGTCCGAGCTCGTATCTACAAAACCAACTCGTAGACTTCCATGGGAACATCCTAACTGGGCTCGAAAAACACCTACGCCTGAACGCTTTAAGTGTATCCTCCTACATCTACGAAATGAATACTGCGTTAGTATGCAGGTCGGTAGTGAGATTCGCGGAAGCAAAACAACATGACAAGTAAAAGTAAATGTCTTCAATATTTTATCTCAAATCAGGCCTTACCATAACAAGCTAAACAAAATGTTTCATAAGCTCTCGATGATATCGTGGGGATGTTCTCTTTTAAGTTCAAATACACATTACGCAGTTTCAGCATTGCCTGAGAGGGGTTGAATACTACTAAAATATATTTCGATCTCTCGTTACAGCAGTTTAAAATTCCAAAGGTACACGGTTTCATCGCTACAAAGTTGATATGATTAGGACAAGGCAGCGAGTAGAGATTAATTAACTAAAAGCACATTCCGTCGATAAGATACTGCGTTAAAGGTCCCTGTACATTTTGACGTGTCATCGACATTGCCATTTGACCGTGTCGCCCATGCACGGCATCTCAAGCATATTTTGCACTAGGATAATCCATCAAAGAATACTCGAAATCCGTCTCATTTCCATCGTAAACTTGCAGGCATGAATACTTTCTCTACTGAAAAATTAACGTCAAGTATCTGCAGAAGTGCACTCAGGTCCGCTTCCTACCGTGTGGTGTCGTAGTCATAAGGTGCAGAACCGATCATTACCTCATAAGTACAGAAAGCTTAGGCGCAACAAATTAGTGTGTACAGTGCACGCCAAATGCAGCCCATCGGAGTCGTCTCGGTTGAATTTCTTTTCGTCAGTAAACAATACATTCTCCCAATACTTCCTGCAATCTGCAAATTTGCTCGCAGATTTCACTCTAGCCACCTTCTGATGGGACTTCAAGCGCTGGAGCAGGTCTCATCTAAAACAAAAATGGCGTATCGGCTCCTGTGCAGCACTCGTAGAACCTTAGATGCACTGGATCGGCGTGGGCGATCTTTTAAGAAGATAGGTTGCGCGCTATGGCGAGTCGCAAAATATATCTGGCACTCTGCTCGTCGATTATGGGTGGTCTACAGACTCCGCTGGGTACACTTAGAGTTTTCTAGGAAGTTGCTAAACGGCCATCTCTCTGCGTTCGAGGCGCCTGGCGATCGCGGCTGCTTAGTTTCACTTCCTTATAGCTCTTAATGCGCTCGCACCCCTCTGCGGATAGACGCTTTCCGCGCGGCATCGGGCTTCGGTATATAAATTGCTAATGCTAACCAAAAAGAGGCATTGTTTGCGCTCTTTTCATCGGTCTAACGTTTTTCTAAAATGGCCCACCATTGTTATATATGAAAAATTAAAATGTGCGCATAGGTGCTTAGCTATGAATTTATGTTGTAATGATATATTGCACATGACGAGGGGTAGATTATTGCTTATGCTTGCAAGCTCTTTTTGTAGATTACAAATCAGTTATCAATTCTTATGTCCTGATCTCCCAAACATCGCTCGCATTTTGATTTAAAACAGTTTCCTCAAGTATATGTAGCATCAATCCAAAGGGACACTTAATGTAAAGTGTTGACATAAGTTGCTAGGCGGCTTCGCTGAGTCTCATCATCATCAGTTCTGCCCCCACCTGTAGAGGATTCTCCGTAGCAATGACAGACAACTCGTCGTTCTTCTTCAACAGCCCACACCATCCCAACGAAGTGCTAGTGTTTTCACCAACGCTCTTTGGAACTTGGCTCTCCAACAGACGGATATTGTTTTTCCGAAGTGTCACACCACCATTACACTTTTGCTGAAGTAAAAACACCGTCAAGTTCAAAGTGTACCACCCCTTAACGAGGCAAATTATTCCATTCCGCTCACTATTCTGATCGAAGTGGTCACATTTCTGCTCGTTCCAAATAATATCACCGTCTTCGTTCAGTTTGTCCACATTGCTCGAAACCGCAGAGAGATGGACCACTTGCTTCCCTATTAGATCCGCCAGAAGTTTTTCCGTCCGCACTAGTTTTTCTTCTACATCCCGGAGCTTTGCTTCCACTACATCCACGCGCTCCAGCGAGATAGGCTTGAGCTGGAGCACGTATTTGGTAAACCAAGCCGAGGAAAGTGCTCGGACCTCCACCATCAGTTCAAGCTCAAGCGTGTCGTCTTCCAATTCGGTCAACCTGCGCCGTATCTTGTCAGCTGTCAGTTTGTCCAAATCTATGTCCTCCAAATTCCCATCTTGTGTTTGGGACATACAGAATCGCATCGTGTCCGCAAAAAGCTGCCTCCGACAACAAGATTAGCTTATATAGAAGTAGTTTTGAGAAATAGAATATCAAGTTGCCTTTTTTACCGATATGTATTAATAGTCGTCTATAGAAGCTCTAGGGAGGCGATCCATGGCACTCACGAAATCTTCGTCATCGAGAAAGCCTGTGCACCTGCAGAAGCCCAATTCAATTTATAATATTTAGTAAACTTGTCGCGTCTAGCTCATGGGTCAAGCTCTTTATCTACCACTGTCGCTTGGTCTTCATGCCAAAGACGCATCTTATCATGATTGGATGAAATAGCGAATCGATAGGAAGAGGCAGGCGGTGGCCCGAAAGCAGTGATTCCGCTCGCCTTTTCTACTGCTGCCATCCTGACAGTTATTGATATTTTGTCGTGGCTTCCTCGGTCCACGCTGAAGCGTCGTTAAAAATTAGCGGAGAAAGCTGGGACAGGGTACTACATGTAGCCCGTTAGGAAATAATGCGATTGACTGGAAACGTCCACGTCGAGTCTAGTACCTCGAATGTTTTTCACGGTAAAACCGTAAGAATATAATGAAAGGGACGAACGAATTTGCTCGCCAGGCGGGCCTATAGCCATTCCGTTGTGGCTACGCACTGTTGTTTACACCTTGAAGTACATGTAGACGCTACCCAAGTTGTTGTTGCTGCCAGTGTGCGCATTTCAGCTGCAGAAAAAGCTAGTACAGGTAGCTCTAAGAAACCGGATTTCTTACACTTCTTGTTCTCTAAACATATATAGTAGGTGGCTCGGAGGCGGAAAGTCCACCTGTGCTAAGAGGTCAAGGCGGAACACCCCAGTTGACAGCTGATTTAAATACACTATTTAATTCACAATAATATTGACTAAAACCCTTGACAGCTAATTTAAATAAGGGAAATCATCAATTTAGGGCCGCCCTGAAAAAAAGTCACATAACTCGGCAACTATTTGCACAGGGACACAAAGCGAGACAGTGTCCGAAAGCTTGTAATCTGAATGTTTTTATCGTATTTTTTGCGGCCAATGACCAATAGCATTGATCGTTCAGGACACGGCAGCAGAAATTTTTGTCGCATCAGTTCAGGGCCGCATTTAACCTTAACTTCAGTACTAAAATGTTCAGCTGGTGAAAATTTCAAGCCCATTCAAGCATAGGGTCTGATCACCCTTTCTTTTTATGTTTATGCGTCTTGATAAAATTACGGAGGATACATAATTATGCAAGAATAATCAAACGTCTGTCATTACCAAAACAAAATCAGAAACGTCAATTGCTGACAGCTCAGTCGTTTAGACGCTAGCTTATTGAGGGCCCATTATGGGAGCAGGGGTGTCGCAGGCTCGAGTCTACTCGTTGCCGTTAATTCTCCGCACTGAAAAGGTAAGTTATCAATTCTTAAACATTGTGTAAAGATTGCAACTAACCTTTTTGTTGATTAGCTACACTACGACGGAATTGACAATATGTTGGGCTGCGCTCGTTTCTTGAGGGACTCCATCGTCTTTGCCTTCGGTGGCGACTGCAGATTCTCTGCGCGACTTAGTACGTGTTCTGCTGCTGGTGGCCCAAGCCATATTTGCAGGCTTTATTGCGTTGGGTTTGTCAATCGAATAACAGCCCTCATCGTCTTCGTCAACAACCTCCTTTATCAGATTGCAGAGTTTCACTTTTAGTGTCGCATTAACTGCAAGTTGCAGTCTGCAACGTCCAGAGGCTGCAATAGGTGGGTGGCGTTGGGCGGAAGCATGTCCTCTCAAGTATCTTGGTTTGCGCCGCGACCTCGGGAACCGCCGCACCGCTGAGTATTTTTGCCACAATGGCAGTCTTGGTGTCAGTAGAGTAAGTGTGGCGAGTCTTAGACATGGCTTGGGTCGGACAAATAAGAAGTGAAGCGTTTGTTTTCTTCTTGCAAATGTTTGAACGGAGTGGATGGCGCTCAACAATTGGAGGAGCTGAATAAAAATATGGCGCCAAGGGTTCACCCCTTCTGCAAATTAAAATCATAAAGGTATTCGTACTTAGCTCATTATAACCAATAGTTTCCAAGTTCAATGGAGTACTGTATATGATTGGCAGTAACTTATGCGGCCCTAAACTGGTTCGCGGCCCTAAATTGATGATTTCCCTTACATTATTTAATTCACAATAATATTGACTAAAACGAAAGCCTTCAGATGACAGAAAACTCAATAAATTCCAAATCGTCATTAATAGAAAACACGGCTTTAAAAAAGTGGTGGCGGCATATTTCATCGCCCCAGCGTTCAATTTCCAAGTCTGAAAGCGTCGAGATCACCCCCGACTTTAAAGGGAGAGCCCGTGGCGACAATCACGATCTCGTCGCTCTGCTTGAAGTACGTCGTAAAGGCGAACGTGACGCTGGTATTCTGCTTCAACGTACAGGGCGCTGGCATAGACCGCAAGTAGGTCCCATTCACTTGGATCTTAATGTCAGTTCCGACTGTTTGAGGCGCCAAGTAGACGGTCGAATGGACGACGTACCATCCGGCAACGAGGACGCGCACACCGTATCCGTCAATCGAGGACACGAAGCCAGACCCCGTGACGGAGCTCCACTTGAGCTGCCCCTTGTCGTTCAGCTGCGGAACGTTCTTGGAGGCTGCGTTCAGGCGCACGACGGCCTTTGAGTTCTTGACACTAATTAGCGCAGACTCGACTTTTTCGAGTTTGGCTTTAACCTCGCTCAACTCCTCCGCGACATTCGCTCGCTCTTGTTTTTCTTCGCTTAAATTGTTTGTAGTCTTCTCCAGCTCTTCCTCTACGTCGCGGAGCTTGGCTTCTAGAATATCGAGTCGGTCCAGAGTCACGGGCTCCAGTGAGAACAGATATTTCGCATTCCACGCCGACTCGAAGATCCGGATTTTTACTGTCAATTCCAATTGAAAGGTATCGTCTTTGAGAGGTGTTAACTTGCGACGAATCTTCGCAGGGTTGAGCGGGGCCTTGGCGTCGTCGTCTTCCCTTTCCAATTTATCCGTCTCAATGATCTCGTCCTCGTCCTCGTCCGCGGAATTCTTCATAAGAAATTCCAACGCGTCCTTGAAGACCTATATGCATAATTTAGTGCTAAGAAGCGCCATCATTCAGTTTCTTTGCAATGGGTTTTTGTAAGACAACCTTGACGTAATCTGTGGGACTCGCATTGGGCACTTTGTTGGTGCTTGTGAGGTATTCTTTGTCGTCTAAGAAGCCGGAGCTCCTGGATAGTATCGAGACACGGCGTTAGATTGAGTGAACTGAGGAAGGACGACGTCCTCTACGTACCACTGCTTCTTGCTCTCTAAACCCTCCAACGTGATCTTCACTTTCTCGGCTTTGCTGGTGATGAAGAAGCGATACGTCGGCGCTGGGGGCGGAGCGAACGCCGTCACCCCACACTCCGTTGTCTCGGCCATGGTTGCTTGCACTGATTTCTAAGGTACATTCAAGCAACATCCCATCAAAATATTTACTATAAAAATTCCTGATTTACAAAAAAGTAAATTTTTAAATCAATACAATGAAGAATCATTTCTTTAGAATATCGTATCTATTGTATTTTGCAACAATGCAAAAAATGGCACTCTTTATTTTGCCAGACTGAGGTAACATAGCATCGTCTTTCATACGTGTACAGACAGTATAGTAAGTTACGGCCATAAAGGTAGGACACTAGCGCGTTTGCACTCGTCTGCGGACCTACAGCCGTGGGCACGCCCCTGCTGCGCTGCGCTCGGGGGGCGCCGCTGCGCGGCCTGCCTCACCCCGGTCTCTAAGTCCTCGACTCGGCAAGGCGCTGTGTCTGGGATTATTAATAGAACTTAGTCTCGAGCAAGTCGTCGGCTAAGTCCATTTTATGCATGTTGGGGTCCCCGACTCCCCAACTTGGGGAGTCTAATTGTATACAGTCGTGCACCTCCAATTCGACAGTGCGGACCATATCAACAGTGCCAGGGCATGAGAAACAGAAAAAAAAATACACACTAATGCAAAAAAATACATAAAGTGCCTGAATGCACATAATATACATGAATGGCGCACAAGCGATTGGGAAGAACACACATCATTGTGTCTTCATGGAGATCGTAACCTGACTTGCATACAGAGGAAGCTGAATTGCGGACATTGTATTTAGCCAATCTCATGAGCGTTTGACAGGGTTTTTATCCTATCGCAGATGCGCACATCGCAATTCCCCCGAGTCAGAGCTGCCGAGGAAATCTGGCGCCTTCGTGGTGGAGCTCCCGGGGCGACCGACAGGTACGGCTTGCCTCAATCACGGTCTGCTATGACGCTGCAGTGGACTATAGTACGCGATTTTGTGGACGCCACTACCGCAGAAGCTGCGCTAGCAGGTTTTAAGCAGTACAAGAAGGGAACCAGTCATACCGTCCCCTGCACGATATGTACTGTGGCAACCCCCCACGAAATGCGCTACCAACTTTTGAACTGCTCATCTTAAAAATGCGAAACTAGCGGTCAACAGGCAAACTGTAAGTGGCGTGGGCGTGTCATGGAGTGCGACAATACACGGAAGTTCACCATTAACGAGTGTGGGGAACACAACAGCCTCGAGAAGGATACCAAGAAAAACAAGTTGACAGAAGCGCATAAGACTTACATCAGAGAGATGGCTGCGCAAGGACTGCGACCAGGTCGTATTCGAAACGCGATGCCTCGAAAGTTTAACGTTCGTATGGATGATCTGCCAGAGTTGAAGGTCGTGCAAAATTTCTCGAACTACTTTCGCAAGACCAAAATGATGAACAATGATTTTATGGACGAGCTCACTGAGTACATACGTGGGTTGGAGTTTAACGGAACTGATGAGGATAGCGCATCTTTCACTATTAGTTGTCAAAAGGATGATGCTGGCCATATCAAAGTTGGAACAGGATCTGACGAAAAATCTTTCGTGGTTGGTGTGACTTCAAAAAGGCTTCTATCTAGGTTGGATCGCCCAGTGGATTCATTTGTTTTTCGCGTGGATGCTACATTTAAGGTGGCTCAAGTGGAATACCCAGTACTGGTTTGTGCAATGTCAGATCGATGTCGTTCATTTCACCTAGTGGCGTTGCTAGTAACTTCTCAACGTTTGGAACCCCAATACACGGACATGCTAAATGCACTGCGCTCGGTGTACTTCCGTGTTATGCAAAAAAAATCTTACTCGACGCAGCTGCCCATGCAATTACTTCTTTAAGTTCGTGTGTTGCATACATCTTCTTCACGCATTGAAAGTCTCTGGCGCTGCTGAACCGGTTGGAAAAGCTACATTGGTCTACCGAGGCACGTCTAAGAAACGGCAACGGGAAACCCAAACAACTGAACCCCATGTACCCGTGGGAAGACCTCGCACCAACGGTTTTGCTCTTGATATGGAGTAGAAGTGTTGTTCGGCCTTGCTCACAGTGATAAGGACTGATAGTGCCGTGAAAGGTGCTCTACCCACCGCTTCATACGTCAGAGTAACCTCTCAATACACGGGTTTTCTTTTTAAAGCTGAAGTAAAATGGTTCGGTGCTGCATCCCCTGTCAAACCAAGCCGCCGAGCTTAGCGCCAGAACATGGAAACGATTTATTTGCAATAAAGGTTGCTTTCGGCGCTACTCATGGTCAATTCGTGCTTCCATCCTACTTTAATGGCACCTACGACATTGCAACACGGTGATCTTGAGCCCAATTACACGGCTTTTTGTCCTAGCCACGGCAGTTGGCAGCACCACACACGCAGTCGAACCACGGGTCCACGTAGTCGACAGTCATCTCTTCTCCCTCTTCAATCGTGCGCTTGGCCATTACCACCACAGCCTCGTTTTCGCGGTTGCGTAGCTCCACAAAGTGGCACGGTGCGTCGCACGAGTGGTTCAGCATTCGCGTTATACCACCACAGCTCGTCGCATCAATGTAGACTTTCTTGCCTCGAGCGCTCTTGAGCTGAAGCTCCAACGCGTAGTCGCAGGTCTGCTCTTCATCTGCTTCGAAGTTATGCGTAGTAGCTGGTGTCGGCATTAAGACAATCGTCTCTGAAGCAGTCATAAGCGCACTTGCACTTATCTGTAGGACCCGTGTCTAGAAATTTAATCTTCTCTGGGTTTTGAGGCACACTCACCTTGTCCACACCCATCGGCCAGAGGTCATCGCCGTCGTCGTCAATAGCGATTACCTCGGGTTTACGAGGAGCCGCTTCATGACGAAGCACAGCATTGCGCCGCGCAGACAGCGCCTCACGAACTCCTGGCAGCCGCAAAAAGCTATTCATGTACATCGCCTTCATTTTGCCGACATTGTACACTTTGGTGGAGGTGCGGACGGGCGTTTTGTGCCCCCTGTAGCGCAGCTTTCGCGAGCTTGTCTTCCAGGGATTGCTCTTCATGCGTTTCTTCTTGTCCTCCCGCTCCTTGTACGTCTGGACGCCCTTGGCCGTCGAGGTAGCCTCCGCTGCAAGCTCCTTCTTCATAGTCGCGTCCATGCCTACCTCGCGACCCTGTTCTTGGCTGCATCCCGCAGCCTTGTGCCCTGCCGTCTTCCCCATGATGCTTCCTCTCCTCGACTGCCGCGAATTTTCAAATGGTCCCTTTAACCTAGCATATGTCATTGCCGTAGGCTCAGACTCAGAACCGCCCACACCAACCCCTATCATCACTGCGCGGATGTGCCACAACGGACAAACTCCATTTTGTCCGAAATTCAGACTTGGCTGTCCATTTCTTATATTTTCTCCCAGGGCATAAGTGCACAACGTAAAGCAAAAAACAAACGCAAATCTAGTGCACTGATATTTGTTAATAGAAAAAAACGTGAAAATCATTCAGTACAAAATTTACGTTTAGTTTTGAGACGATGCCTGTGTGGCACCAACAGTTTCTAATAGTCTTTGCAGATATGTTGTTCCAGCCTTCAGACAACCACTTCATGGCGGAGTAAACGTCGACCGGCGTGTAAGGAACACCCTTGTAGAACAGGTCCAGCTCCGCGGCTTGCTTCTTGTTCTGGTACTCATTCTTCAGGCACTTAATGATGCCCTGGTCCATGGGCTGCAGTACGGCAGTTGTATTAGGCGGGAGCTTGCGAATAGCAACATTGGATAGCTCAATAGAAGCGTCTTTGTGCGACGAAGCATTGTCAACAAGTACACCTTTGCCCGGCCAAACTCTGATTAAGCGACATGCAAAGTCAAAATATAACCTCGGGTTACGTTTGGTGACTTGTGTTTATTACATTAAATTGCGAAATGTGCAAGCAAGGCCGATTTTGCCGCAAACAAAGTCGGAGAGAGACCAGCGCGCCAAACCGAGAGCCGCGCGCGCCAAAATGAATGGACGCTAGGTGGCTTTGTATCGTGGATCAGCTTCTACGATCACTTTCAATCGTCTCCTAAGGCCCCAGATGCCCAGCCAAGCCGCCCGCCTGTCACCTCACACCCCAATGGAGCGCCTGCGAGTGCTCGACGCGTACCGTGCTGGTCGCCCTGACTGGAAGATTGTCGCGGCAAGCAGCGGCTTTCCATCGTCGACAGCATACGACTTGGTCAAGCGTGATCGTGCCAATGATGTAAAACGTGGAGGCGCACGTGCAAAGTCAACGAAGGTAACAGACGAGGTCGTGGCGTTTTTGGAGAGCTACCTGAACGAGAACTGCACGTTCACGTTGAAGACAATGGTGAGCATGCTGACCGTCGACACTGGCATCTCGCTGTCTACCTCCACGGTTAGCCGGCACTTGGTGGTCTTGACATACACAGTCGAGCAAGCACGAATTGAGCCCTCAACCTGCAACAATGACGCTAACAAGGCAAAGCGCTAGAAGTTCGCGAAAACACTCCTGAAGCACCATCGCAAGGGCAACTGCATAGTGTACTACGACGAGACGAACGTCAACGTCTACTGCATGCGCACCCGCGGTCGTGCTAAGAAGGGAGCACGAGCCGTCGTGGTTTTGCCTCCGTCCAAAGGGTCAAGCCTGCAGATTCAATGTGCTGTAAATTCGACCATCGGGCTTGTGCACCACCGCCTCCAACGAGGTAGCATTCAGATGGATTGCAACGCTGAATTTGTCGAAGAGGTATACCAAAAGGTGAAAGAGTCTGAGGCGTTCCGTGAGAACTTCCGCGGCAAGAAGATCGTGATCGTGCTCGACAACGCGCCTGCTCACAGTCAGACGGAAGAGCGTGTTGTCGCGCACGCAGACCTGAAGCTGATGCGGCTGGGCCCCTATTTGCCAATGTGCAACCCCATCGAGGGGTGCTTCAGCGTCTTTAAGTCAAGAATTAAGAGCGAACTGGCTGTCGACCGAGAACAAATTTGCGATAGACGTCGCGGAGTGCACCACGATGAAAATGGCGAGTTAATTACTCTCGGAAAGCGCCAAATGCAGTTCTTGGAGCGGGCAGCTCGAGCAAGCATGCGGTGTATGACGCCCACGTTAGTGGGTCAGATGGAATTACACTGTCGCGATGCTGTCATTGCCGCTAGGGATCTCGAGGATATGCAGTATGGCAGATGAGCTGGCCTCTCTCCGACTTTGTTTGCGGCAAAATCGGCCTTGCTTGCACATTTCGCAATTTAATGTAATAAACACAAGTCACTAAACGTAACCCGAAGTTATATTTTGACTTTGCATGTCGCTTAATCCGAGTTTGGCCGGGCAAAGGTGTAGTAGTACTTGTCGTTCTTCCAGCTGCATACGTTCATTTAGCGCCAATTGCCAATCACAGTACTTTACCGTATTCATCCACGCCTTCGCCGTATTTGTGTAGGTAGCTCCAATTTCGACTTGAAGGTCGCGATTTTTTAGGGGGCGCGGCACTTTAGATCGACCAATGAGGTGCAGCGGAAGCTGCTCCGTGCCATCGGCGTTGGTGGTAACGCACACGGTGATCCGGTGCTTGCTCTGCTTCCTCCCCTTCTCTTTCTTGCTCACTGTTAGTGATCCTCGCGGTTCCCGGCGGTAGAATCGTCCATATTGAAGACGTCCCGGGGGTGGTATTCTGAAACAAGTGCTCGAAGATCTTTAAGCCCCTTTTCCACTGCTGCGTCCTGAACTCGTCAATCTTCTGCATAATCTTGGCGTCAGACGCGCGAATCGCGGGCGCGCAACAGCTCTTCCTGTCGCGATAGGTATCCGGCAAGGCGGCAACGTCCGCCGACCGCTTAAGAATACTCAAAACGGTAGTGCGCTTTACTGCTTGGGGGGTCTTAAAGCGCTCCGTTGCCCAACGAGCAAGTTCGGAGTGAAAGCATGCAGGATCTGACTTGTGCTTCTCGCACAAAGACTGCTTTTGTGCTAGAGTTAGGGACATGTAGGAGGAAGGGCGATGTCCCATTGTCTTTGGCGGTAAAAATCAAAGTGTGTGTTTGTATGAAGACGTCCGATCCAAAATTTAAAATCAGATCGATGCGGCGTGTCATCCCTCCGCGAGGAGGGGAAAACCGCTGAGGTTAATTGCTAGGGTGGTGATGGGCAAAGGTATTGCGCATCCGATTCGCGTAATCATAAAATCTGGCAGGGTATCGACTGATACCGGTGTCGAATTGGAGGTGCACGACTGTAGTCGGTTAGTCAGTCTGGCAAAATACACTCACTTCCAAAACCAATTTGATGGTAAAACCGCCACTGAAATAAACAGAACTGATGGGCGTTTATGCATCCGGTACTAAATACGATGTATATAATTCGAGTTGAGTTTTAATTCGTAATTATGAAATCTGTTTTGTACACCTTTGCCAGTCCAAATCGGCGACAGTGTAAAGCAAAGCTGTGTGAAGTAACTTAAGTGACAAAGAAATTTTTAATTTTTATTTTCAAAAATTGACTTTAGAGCAATGGCGATTTAGTGCAGAGCTAACTGGTGGTCGGCATCAAAACAAGTTAAAAAAGTCCATCCTGTCTTCGCCCTTTGCTTCTTCCTTCCGAGCACCATCGTACCCGCCACCCCCGCGTTAAAATTCCATTTTATGCTACCTCGGTCGTCGTTGACACGTGCAAAATGCAACTTAGGCCACACACTCGACACGCAGACAGAGCCGTCGCGACTGGGCGATGCTGGACGACTCCATGAGCATTGAGCGGAAGATACGCTCCTCGCTGTAGCCTGCCTTCTCCAGCATCGTGATGCGCTCCAGCGGCTTGAACCAGCGCACGCGTCTCCGCCGATGTCGTCCTGCGGTTTCCTGCCTGTCCCCCGCCTGTGTTTTCTCCCGCTGATGCTGCGCCGCGTTCACTGAAGTCCTCCACACACATTGCGGGGTTCGAGCCAGCCCCACCGCTGGACCACCGCGTCGAGGCACTGCGCTGCCGCCGATGCCCACGCCGAACTCGTAGACGGTGACGGTGGACCAGCGTACGCTCTTGGTCGCCATGGCTGCTGTGTATGTGGCTGTTGGACTGGGGCGAGGAAGGAATGGAGGAAAGACCCAGAGAGCGTCGGCTGTATGTCGTTCACGCGCCCCTCCCGGGTGGCCACTCACTCGCGCCGCTGCCATGCAAGTACCAGATTTGGTGGATCTGCTCCATCCACTTACAAACACTCAGTGGCTTGCCTTGCGTTGTTTTTCCCAGTCAGCGCTCAGTTCAACATCGTCCGCTTGCCCAGAAAACAGAGCGCCGGATGCAGCTGCTTGAAAACGCTGCAGAGCATAGCTTCCATGTATGGATCTGCGCTTGGCTAACAAGATGGCGCGCCACTGTGCGTTGTCAGTGGCGGCAGCTATTCGTAGCAAACCTATGGAGTACGGCACGTAAAGTTTTGCACTACACTAAATCAACTTTGCATGACAGGCTTTTTCTAAAAAAATAAATTTCAAAAATTAAAAAAATTAATTACGGGACGTTCCACTTTGCTTTACACTGTCGCCGATTTGGACTGGCAAAGGTGTAGAGTCTACGTGTTGTTGACGCTCCAGTTTTATAAAAGGGAAGTGAAATAATAAACAAAATTACATGAGGCTATTGGGTGAAGCTACTGTGTGTTGTTTGACATTTCTAATAAATATGTCACTGCCTTTTCATTAGTGCAGACAGAGGTAATTGACATGCATTTGTAAGCTTCAAGGTGCGACTGGAATCTTGCACGTTGAACTTGATCGAGTCAGCCATCAATGGCTTCCCCAATCAAGGTGGATTCGTTTAACTTCAAGGAGATTCTAGAGGTCTCGAACTTGAACTTCATTTTCTGGAACTATCATCGTGCCTGGCTCACAGCCATACCGTGCTGCTTATTTGAGCTGATTTCAGCTGACTCCCTCAGTGTTGTTTTTGTTGGACTTCTATCAACAACTCAATCGTGCTCTGCAAAGCTTTTGATGAGTTGTTGAAGCTAACCTGTTTTCACGCTTGACCTGATAAGGGAGAGGGACCCTCTCTCTTATGGCCAGTGGCCGACCACCGGTCGTATCATGCGGGGCAACGGCCGCCGTTGCCCCGCTTCTTTCTTGGCCATGCATTTTGTCAAGTCGCGTTGATGTTAGCTTAGCATACAGTGGCCGACTTAAAACTCGGGACTCGGCGGGTGTGGCTGGTCTCAAGTCCTGTAATTGTTACATTTTGAATGAAGTTGTCTCCACGTCCAATTTAGGCATGCAAAATATACTTGTGTCCATTCACAACAGTGACGTCTGCATTTGTCTAGAATAATTCCACGCTTTGGAAACGTGATGATGTGTAAGGGTATCCACCCCATTCCCTGCACATCAGTCGTGACGTACCGCTTAAATTAATTGGTCGGCTGTATTAATGTTAGTCTTTGCTTTTAGTAAGGGTATTATTCATGCCACTGCAACGATAGTCTGGTCTCCACTCACCGTGATATCGTCTAAAGCAGGCACCCGTTTCCTGATCTAACGTGGTTGTAGGGTGCTAGCTGATGAGCTAAGTGCATTAGAACGTTGAGCTTTTAAATTTCTTCTAGGGCCATTTCCAACGCACTGCTTTCATTCCCAGCTCTCACTTTAAATTCGCCTTCAAGCGCCAAACAGCCTTCCAGTCCAAGCCTTCCTACAGTCTAGATGTCTCGCTCGCCGAATCTACTCCAAGGCACGGACTACGCGATAGCAATGTCCCCGGTTGTGGACACCGTCAACGAGCCTACCATCGAAGGACGAGCGATTCGTGCGCAGTGGATCGTGTACACGTCTGCTGCCGTCGCTATGTTGGAAGCTTTCCAGTATGGTTGGTCGAGTCACCAGATCAGTCTCCACAAATTCAACAACACCGATGATTGCAACGCTCGTCCGGTGGTTGAGGGGACTTGCATTATGTTCCCTGGACACACTAAGACCACGTGGACTTTGCTGTCCAACGCATGGATTGTCGGAGGTATGGTAGGCAGTTTTCTATCGGGTATCCCGTCCAACAAGTACGGGCGTCGGATGACTCATCGCTTCAACACCGTCGTCATGGTGCTGGCCTCGGTGATCCAAGTCATTGCTCCCTACCCGTTCTGATTCGGTTTCGGTCGATTCGTCGCTGGAATCGCCAACGGTGTCGCAATGGCTGTCGTGAACACTTTTCTAAGTGAGATTTCAACCCCTCACAACCGTCACGCTCTCGGTACCAACACGCACTTGGCTGCCACACTCGGTATCTTAGGTGTGGCGACGACGTTCTGGTACTGGAACACGACGTCCGGTATCCGCTGGATCGCTGCTATCCCGATCATTCTCGCTGCCGGTTATCTACTCTGCTCCTACTTCGTTATGGTTGAGAGTCCTGTGTGGCTTGTTGCCAAGGGCCGTGAACAGGAAGCGGAGCGAGAGATCGCTCGTTTGTACGGCAAAGAGAACGTTGAAGCCATGATGAGCTGGATTCAAACTCGCGAACAACGAACCAAACTACCGTCTACTATCAGTGGTGAGTCGGTGCAGATGGAAGCGGAGCGTCCGTGGACGATCTTGGCCAAACCAAAGTTCCGCAAGCAACTCGTAGTGACCTTGGGTCTCACATGTATCAACCAATTGGTTGGAATTAACGCCGTTTTCTGGTACTCGTCGTCTATTTTGACTGGAGCTGGCATCGAGGATGCACGTCTCGGTGTGGTTATCATCGACATTCTTCCCGTCGTTCAGGTACCGATCGCTGCTTACGCTACACAGTTCCTACCGAAACGTCCGATGCTTCGTTGGGGCATCGCTATTATGGCCGTGTGCTGCATCGGAATGACGTTCTCTATGGTCTACAGTGTCGGTTGGCTCTCCGTCACCATGCTCGGTATCTACGTGGTTGGCTACGACGTCAGCATCGGCCCGTTGCTCTGGCCCATGATCGCTGAGCTCTTCCCAGACTCGGCGCGTGGTGGTGCTGTCGGGATCTGCGTCTTCTTGAAGTGGACCTGCGCGCTCATTATCGGCATCGCGTTCCCGTACATCCAGGACGCCATCACGGACTACAGCTTCACGCCGTTCCTGGCTACTACTTTTCTGTCGATCATCTTCATCTACTTCATGGTGCCGGAAACGTCGGACTTCACGATCGCCGAGATCCAAAATGGCTTCCGTGGCGACGAGAACCTCCACTCGGTCAAAAGACAACAGTGAAGTGGTTGACAAGTGTCAAATCAGCGTTGGTGTGTGTGGTAGGAAGCACCTTGCGCATTGCGCTGCAGCGTCATCGCCTCAGTAGTTGGATGAAACGTTTTACATATCGCTTGCCTATTGTCATTAAAAAAGGTTCTCGTTCTTGCGACTGACAGTAGTTCCGATTTGTTGGTCGTGCATTTGTCACATCAAAATGTACTGTACTAAATACTTCTTTTTATCAATTAACATTTCGTGGTTTTGATTCGGTAACGCTATTGTGTCGCGAGCCGTCCTTGGATGGGACGGTCGACGCTGTATACAGTAGAAGTAGAACGGTACGGAGATATAAACAGAAGCAACAAGCTAAAGACAAATGTCAACACAAATTCTTTTCTGCTTGTTGTCTCCAAGGAAAATTCACGACCGACCTCTTACATTCTTCCTTGCGACCCGCACTTCGCCCTCCACGGTCCTCGTTCCCGCCGTCAGGCACCGTTTCGCAATCATCGTCCACGATTTTGTACACCACGACAGCGAGGCGGTACTGCCCACCCCACCGCCTCACCGCGAGGATACACAGTCCTTCAGTAGCTCCGGTCCCCCATGACTTCCGTCCTCGTCATTAACGGGAACCGTACGCTCTAGCTGCGCTTGTCCTACGGAGACCGAGGCCGGCCCACAACTTCTCAGCAACTTCGTCGTGGCCCTGCCTGGCTTCATCGAATGCGCGGCCCACACGAATCTGGTCGGCCGTCGAAAAGTGCGGAGGAGGGTAACGGAACTCACCGTGCCCAAGACGGTGGCCGCCAGAACCACTCTTGACACCCTCCCCGACTGAAGCTTGACGCCCTCGTCGAGCACCCGTAGGGCCTTGATCAGCTTTCCGGGCACGATGAGCATCTTGGCGCGCCCGCACTTCACTCAGCCGACGCACCTTTGGCTTGGGACCCACACAGCCGTCGGCCTTCCAGAACGCTTCGCTGAGGCGCTCGGCCTGCTCCTGCTCCTCAAGGTCCTTCGTCCACCGGGCGTATCGGTCCTCAGCGACTTGCTTAGGCGTGCGTCGGTCCTTGGAGGCCTCGCCTCACCGCAGTAGGCGGCTAGTAACAGCTAGCAAGTCGGTCAAACCACTGGCAAGCACCATATCGTCGTTCCAGACGAATCCGCCGTCGACACCCAAATGCCTCTCCGCCAGTACGTAGTTCCCCAGCAGTAGTAGCGCCCCGACGCCGCAGCTTCCATAGAGAATCCATTCCACAAACTCGTACACGTAGACGGCCGTGTACATGCCGGCGTAGGCAAACAATCCCATTAGAGACGCGAAAGCGCGGAAAACACAGCATGCACGGTCCATTGCCCGGTGACACTCCGCGCCAGAGCCAATCCAATACTTCACTGTAGACTTGCAGCTCAACTCGAGCACGTCGGGTAGGCACACGCACCACAAGGCGTGATAGGCCTCCAGCCAGCGGTGGGCAAGACGTTCCAGCCCGTCCTCGCTTTCCGCCTCGTCCTCTAGCACCACCAGCGGCGTCTGGAACAACGCCTCGTACAGCTTCCAGCGACGCACTGCCGGAGTCCTTTCCGCAATCCTCACGTAGTCGGCGAAGATCCGGTAGCGCCGGATACAGGTCCTACACAGCCCGTCCACTTGATCACAAATTCCAATACGGCGCCGACGATCCGCCCCACCACCCACCACAACGGCTTGGTGATCATCCAGCCGACGGCGCCGCTCAGGACCCAGAGCAATCCAGACCAGTGGCGGACGGCCGCCACCCACGTCATTTCTGTCCACGGATGACGCACGACGCTCCACCAAAACGCCAAGCAGATCCCGGCAAGCCAGACGCACCACTCCGTAGCCTCAGCGAGCTACTCAATCATCGTAGCGCAGTCCCGAACGCAGGGAGTCCGAGCTTTGAGTAGTCGTGCGTACCGGCGCTAGGCCGGTCCAGATAGGCAGGAGCCATCAATCATCGTTAAAAGAACTCCATCACCGTCACTTCTCGGCGCTGGGGCGAGTCCACGCCGTAAGTCACAATCCATCGTAGTCGGATCTGGGACCGTGCCGGGCCTTCGTCACAAACTGTCGATCACGGTGGGCAAACCGTCTCCACCACCAGCGCATCTGGCGTATCACTGAACCATTGACGGCCCCAGACTAGGTCAAGAACCATCCGCCTAGCGGTAAGACCCAGCCTTTCTCGCATTTCCGCATTCGTTTCCTTCTTCCCACGCCGCCGCAGTTCTTCCCGCCTTCCACCATGGCCAAGACCAAGGAATCCAGCAAGGACGCCGCCGTCCGCCGTCTCCGCGCCCGCCTCGACAGCAAGGGCAAGCCGTCGGAGGAGGACATTGTCCTGCGCGCCCAAGTGGACTTCTACGCCGAGCTCCGTGATCACCTGGCCGCCAACGAGGCCTCCTCGGGGATGCAGGCAGTCGACGCCCTCGCCCTTGCCCTTATCGCGGATGACGATTCCCTACCGGCCACGCTGACGGAGGTCGTGACGCTGTTGCCGCCGCCCGACCCCTTCGAGACGGACAGCCCCCGACTCATGCTCTCTTTGCGCCGGAGCCAGACACGACAATTAAGCGTCCTGCCCCGCGCAACAAGGCCCAGTCGAAGCGTCCGGCCAAGAAGTGACGCACCACCGCGAACTCCCTGAAGTACTCCCTCGAGCTCCCCGATGACGTGCCGGCCGCGATCCGTCGTGACGTGGATCGCCTTATCAAGGAGGCGACAGGACGAGGGAAAACTCCTTTCCGGCTGGCGTATCCGTGGTCCGGGCAGCGAGCCTGGCACGACCCGCAAGTGCACCCGCTGCTTCATCTTCTGCACTGGCGCTTCTGGATGAAGCATTGCGCTACGTTCTTCATCTGCGCCCTCTACGCACCCACCGGCAACTCTGACGCACGCCGCAAGAAGAAGTCCGTCGCCGTGTAGGCCCATTTGCGGTTCATCAGCGCGAACATCGAGGTGTTCGGCTATTACAGCTTCCTGGCCCAGCTGGAGGACACGGCCCACGACACTCTGATGTGGTACGGGGGCAAGGCGGCCGCTCACTCGGTAGCGGCCAAGACTCAAGCCGCCCAAGTCGACCTGGCGACGCTCTACAAAAAGGATAGGGCTCTCTACGACCGGACCTTCGCCCGCGCTCTCGATCCGTTCTCCATCGACGAAGACGACTACAGCTCCGTTCCGGAGCTGCTGGAGCAGACCCAGGCGTTGGACATCACCCGGAAGCCCCACCTCCGCCTCTCGGACGTCGCGCTTGGCCGCATCGCCATGGACGTTGCCAGACGGTCGCCTCCCAACCCTGCTTGGGTTAATAACAAGACTAGCGGCGTCTGAAAGCAGCTCCTCTCGGATCGGTCGCTCCGCGAGGTGCAGACCAACATTTTGCAGCAGCAATTGGACGGTGCGTACGAAGCGCTGGACGACGTTAAACCTTACGACGTGACCGAGCAAGGGGACGACGACTCCGACTTCGAGGGCGAAGACGGTGACAGCTATTCGGCCTTGCCTCCTTGTGACAGAAATGCAGCACCGTTTTCACGTATGTCAAAGGCACGAGGGGGACTGAGACCGAGCCAGCAGGGCCGGCTCGAGCCAGCAAGTTTACGCGACGCAAGAGCATTCCTTCTTGGACGGAGTACCGGGACCCCATCCGCACCACTCGCGCTCGCAGGTACGGATCCAGTGGCAACGCTCCGTCCAGCAAGAAGGCCACCAGTGCCTTGATCCACGGCACCTTCAACTGTTCACTCACGAACTGCTCACGATCAAGGCTAAACTGGTCGACAGGTGACGGGGCGACCGGTCCGACTTCTTCTCTGACAGGATCCTCGCGTAACCCAACCGACCCAGGGTCGTCAATGTGCCCATCGGCTGGGTCGCCAGCAGCTCCGTCGGCGTATTCCACTTCTTCGTCCGCCTCGGGACTCGAATGCTCCCCGACTGAAGACGGACCCACGTCGTCGTCGTCCGGATTCAGTAGGTCGTTCATAGTCAGCGCCGCCACTTCGTCCGCTGGTAGCCCGAGAGAGACCGTCCACATGCCCCATAGCCGCACCGGGCTTATGGTGTACCTTGAACTGCAGACTCGACAGCTCCATGGCCCACCGGGCCAGTTTAGCGTTCGAAGTCCGATTGCCGGGACTGAAGACCCACGTAACGCGCTTGGTGGTCCGAGTACACATCGAACTCGCGCTTGTCGAGATAACTCCGAAACTTACGCGTCGCCCAGACGACGCCCCAGCACTCAATCTCCGAAATCCCATCCTGATTGTTAATCCAATTCTTCTGCGAACCTGTCAACAACTTGCTGGCGTAAGCCACTACACGGTCACGGCCATCAACTTCCTACACCAGACAAGCACCGACTACGTACCGAGAGGAGTCCACAAACAACTTGAATCGCCTCCGGCCGTCCGGATAGGCCAGGATAGGAGGCTTCATAAGAGCTCTCTTCATCTGCCGAAACGAAGCCTCGCAGTCCTCGTTCCACTCGAACGGAGCGTCCTTCGCTGTCAGTCTCTCCAGAGGCGCCGATATCGCCGCATATCCAGGGATGTATCTCCGGAAGTAGCTCGTCAGGCCCAAGAACGACCGAATCTCGTGCAAGTCCCTCGGCGGCCGGATGTTCATCACCGCTTTCACTTTCTCGGGGTTCGGCAGAATGCCGGCCGGCGTCACAATGTGACCCAAGAACGCCACCTGACTCTGACCCCAATGACACTTCTTCATCTTGAGCTTGAATCCCGCCTCACGGAACCGAGTCAGCACCTGACGGACACGCACTAGGTGCGTAGGGAAATCCTTGCTGAAGATCACACAGTCATCCAGGTACACCAAGCACACTCGCCACTTCAGGTCCACTAAGACGGTCTCCATCAACCGCTCGAACGCCGGCACCGCATTACAGAGTCCAAACGGCATCACCAGCCACTCGTACAGGCCAAACTTACACGTGAACGCCGTCTTGGCCACGCTGCCCTCGTCCATCGGCACGTTCCAGTAACCGGACGCGATGTCCATCGTAGAGAAGATCTGATCACCTCCTAATACATCCAGGATATCGTCAATCAGTGGCATAGGATAGCGATCCTTCACCGTCACAGCATTAATTTTCCCGTAATTAATACAAAAGCGGACTCCTCCGTCCGGCTTCCGGATCATCAGGACGAGACTAGCTCACGGACTGTTCGACGGCCTGATCAACCCGAGGCCCAGGTATTGCTGCACTTCCGCCTCCATGACTTCCCCTTCCGCCATCGACACACGGTAGGGCGGCTGCTTGATGGGCTTACTATCCCCGGTGTCTATCTCAAATTTGGGTCGGTCTGTCCTCCCCGGTTTCATGGACGACGTGACGAATAAGTCGTCAAAGCGGGTCAGCTCCTCGCGGAACAGTTCAATCTGTTCGTCCGTCAACTTGGACTGTGAGAAATCCGCCTCGCCCTTCTCTTTCTTGTCGGGCGGCACCTTCGGCTCCGGGCTCTTGATCTTCTCGAGCTCCACTAACTCAACGTTCCCCGAGGCCGACGTCACTTTCGCTTCTCGGGACTCCGTCGACTCGACCGCCGCGCCGGTAGACACGGAAGGCGAAGGAGGGCCAAACGCCGACTCGGGAATCACAGACACGCAAGCGACCGTGGAACCCTTCTTGACCCAACTCACGTCGGACGACGCATTGCACCCCTCGACTAGGACCTGGCCGTTTTCCACCGTGCACAAGGTCCGCGCGACACACAGAGTAGGCGAGAGACCAACGGTGCTCTTCACTAGGACCGTAGTCTTGTCAGCAGCGTCGCCGACGACGTTGGCCATCCCTAGAGCTTGGCCTCGCGGAGGCAGGCGTATCGAGGCGGTCATCTGAGCCATGTAGGCGTCCTGCACCACCGTGTACCCGAGCGGTAGCTCCTCACCGGTATCCTTGAGCGTCATCCTCCGTTCGGCGACATCGATCACCGCCCCAAAATCACCCAAGGCGTCCACCCCCAAAATGGCGTCGACGTGCAACTTGTCAGCTACCAGCACACTAAGGGAGACCTCAACAGTTCCCAGTCGCAGTGAGAGACCGATACATCCCCGTATCTTGAGAGGGTGTCCCGACGAGCTCTTGACTTGGCCACCGTACGGCTCCAGCGCCTCCTAGCAAATGCGACTCATGTTCGGCTCAAGTGATGAAGGTGAATAGTCGGACCACACTGTCCCACAAGGCAAGTCTGCTTCGGCGTCTGTTGCGACGTCCAAGCCAGTTGAAGTCTCGGGAGTGGTTTCTACAGCAGGGCCTGCCCCTGTTGAAGCTGCTCCACCAGCCTCCGTGTCTTCAAAGCCGGCTTCGATTGTTCCGACGGCTGTCGTACCAAGCGTGTCTTCGCCCGACTTAAAACAGTAGAGGATGTACAGTCGCTGGACTGAGATGATGACGGACCACGCAGCAGTGAAGTGGTTGATGACGAGCAAGGATCTGACTGGGAGGCTGCACCGTTGGGCTTCAAGAGTACAACTTCGAAGTGGTGTATCGGCCAGGTTCGAGCAACGTAGTGGCTGACGTTCTGTCGAGAGCGCCAGTGAGGTAAGGCACCACCAGCTAACGCAGTGGCGACGGTGAGCACGGTGGCGACGTTGGGCTTGCCATCGGTGGCTGAGCGCGGTGGCAGTGGTCAGGTGACAGAAGGGCGTGATGGTGTAGAGCAGCCGACGGCCGGCAACGAAGGCGGGTGACGGACACAGAGATTAAGACGGATCAAGCGGGTGACAAGACAGTCAAGAAGCTGAAGGAGAAGGGCTGGTACGGCAGACAGAAGATCGTGACGAAGGACGGGATAGTGTACATTGAGCTGGCAGATATGACCGGCCCAATCGCTTCAATACCTGCCTGTCCACGAGACTCAGAGTCGCACCAGTGTCGGCCAGCATCCGAGACGGTAAGCACTCAATGTACCCACTCGAGAGTGCCTCAAAGTTACCAACGGCGCACACGACTCGCCGGCCATCCTCGACCACTACATGGACATCGGCCCTTGCGTCATCGTGGGAGACGCCAAACCCACCAGGCAGCTCCACGGTAACTACTTCCACTAAGACGGTCTTCGGCACCTTCGTCACGACCCTCTGTGACGACCGCACCACCTCCACGTAGTGGGAGGCGTCGTCTTCGTCCTCGGGATAGAACAGCAGCTCGCACAAGCCAGCCGTTGACTCGAAGATTGTAGAGACATCCGTCCGTCGGGCCACTCTCCGCCGCTCACGGCGTCGTGCCGACGAATTCTTCACCCTTTTAGCCCGCAGGAGGAGCTTGGTCCAGACGAGAGCTCCTTCCGCCTCCAAGTACGCTCTGAGATATGCCTCTAAACGTCCCCACGGCATCCCGCTCTTAGGAGGTCCAGCCGCCTCACTTTCGGCGAGAGCACGGAGACGCTGCCAATCCGGAGTAGGCGCCTCGTCCCACCTAGGCTGAACTCCGTCTGTCGTAGGTCCGTCGTCGTCGGGCGTCGACGCCTTCGCGCTACCAGCCTCCAAGCACTCCTTCAACCAGCGATAAGCGGCGGTACGCGCCGCGGCCCGTACGCCTCGACGATCAACTACCGGTGAACTGTCACCAGGGCGTGAAAGTCTTCCGTCTTCTCCTCCAGCATCAGTTTCGACGGCGGGCAACAGGATGTTGTCACAGACGTCGTCCTCACCTCGATCCTACACGCGTCGGGGAGTCTCACGGCGCTCGTTCAGCTTCTCCGACGGCGACGACCTTCCTAGGGTAGTAATAGTCGTACGCACAGTATTTACTACGGGCGTCTTGAAGTCTCGGTTGGCCCGCTTGGCCTCCTCGGTCGTCTCCAACGTCTTCCGGAACCAGACTTGCCAGTGCTCCGGCGATGCAAGCTTTCCAGGGAAGGCACGGCGAGTTAGCTCCAAGATCTCGGGCGAGATGCCCAACAACCGGGACAACTCCGCTATCGAAGGGTCCCTTACGGCCTCAGTGTTTAGTCGCACACGCTCCAATACAACGGCTTCGTCCAACGGGTACAAACGGTCTTCTAACGCCTTGTCATATTCTTCACTTTCCGTATTAACTTTCGTACCAGCCAAAACCGTAGCCTCTTGGCCGGGCTCACACTCCTTCATGGCGTCCAGTTCCGCATCCGTGAAGATACAGCCAGTTTCAGTTTGCTCGATCTCCTTGCTCGGTTTGGCATCCTCGTCCGTGTCAGCCTCCTTGTTCCTGTACGTCATAGCGGCGCTAGGTCCATCAACACTGCTTACCCCTTCCGCACGCATCCTTCGTTCCGGCCGCGTCTTCTGCCCCACAGGCAGAGTCTCCACAGAAACCGTGACGCCGTCGACAGCGAAGGTAGTTCCCACCGTAGAGGCCACCTTGGATAGATCCACGGCTACCTTCTCACACCGTTCCGGAGCGTCGTTCACGCGAACAAGGTTTCCCTCTTCTTCCGTGCCTACGATTCGGATACCCCTCTTTTTCTTCGACTTTTTCTCCTTTTTCTTCGTCATCTTCTTTTTCTGCACCACAACAGCCACCGCAGTGTCCTCTCTCCCCGTCACTGCTACCTCTTCATCCAACGTCCACTGTAACGGCCTTATGTCCTCCATCCTTCACTCGGCCGCCACTCGAGTCATCCACTTGACCTGAGGAAGGAGTGACTCGTTCTTTCCCCTCCCTCACGCTCCCGTCATTGACGAGACGCTTCGGCCGTCGACGCCTTCAGAGTCGTGGCCAATCCCTTCAGAGTAGCGATCTCGGGACACTGAGAGACACTATGACCGATCTGGTGGCAGTAGAAACACCGCATCGTCGAGTTTCCTCCTCCGTTTCCACCGCTAGGCGGGCCACGGGTCTCATTATACGGCATCTCACACTCAGCCACAATATGACCGTACTGGGTACACCGTCGGCAAGTCATCGTTTGGCGCGAACACGTCACGCGAGGGTGACCCTTGTAGTCGCATCGGCCACAGACAGGTTCTCCTTCTTGCGTGTGGGAATCCTCCGCCATCTTGATGCCTCGACGGGCACGATTACCTCCGAACGGACCAGCTCCACCAGCGGGAGGGAACTGCCCGTGGCCGCCGGAGCTCGGCACCACCGCCGATACAGTAGGCACCGCAGCCGGCGGCACGGACTGCAAATCTTCCATCACCTGGTGTTGCCATTCCAGCTGCTGCAACAGGAAGTCGTCCAGCTTCTGGGTTAGAGCGTTCACAGTCGCCGTGTGACTATCAGGCTTCGCCCGCGACTCGTCAGGAAATTCGTCGTCTTCCTCCACAGGACGATGCATGTCCTTAAACATTAGCCACTCGCACGCCTCCGGAATATCTCGAGCCGGGCTTGAATCTTCGCTTACGTGTGGCTGCACACGTTGGATGTGGAGTCGACTAGGAAGTGCAGAGCGATGGCAGCCAGCATCCTCTTGTTCTTCAGGCCACGACGGAACAACTGATACCGCATCTGAGGGTTCGGATAGTCGAGGGAGTCGCACAGATCGGTGACTCGGTCTCCCCATTCCTCCACTGACTCGCCACGTTCACGCTTAGTGGAGTACAGTCTCTCCCAGAGCTCGTCGGCCGTCCTGCTGAGGAACCGGTTGTGGAAACGCACCTTCAGCGTCGCGAACGACTTGATGCTGGAGTTGCTCCACCACCTTTCGGCCTCACGTCCCTTCAGCTCCTGCCGGAAAACCAACAGCCGCTCTCTGTCGGACAACCGGTCAGTGTGGTCCTCGAACAGCTCCAAGAAGTCGCGCGTCTTCTCCACCATAGCCGTGTCCGAGTAGAGCATCGGTAGCACCTTTATCACAGTCGACATCTTCGTGATTCAGTCTTCACGCCTCGGCAGGCGGGACGGCCCAGGCAGGACCCGGACCGGCGGTCGGACACCAGCACGCGGAGGGGCCTGCGGACCTCGCGGCACCACTGCCGAACGCGGCGGAACGCCCGGGGCGCTCCCTACTTGTCCCGTCCAAGCAGGGCGCGGACCAGTCCGACGCACTCCAGGCGGAGCAGGATGCGTCCGGGTCGCAGCGATACTCGGACCTCCCGTAGCAGCAGTAGCCGTCCGAGCAGTACCCGTCCCAGGCACTTCGGGTCCCGTGGTCTTGTAGGGGCCACCGGATTGGCAGCGACCGTCTTCCTTTTTTAAGCGACAGGTGGAGCCTCGTAAGGCTGCTGGGGCACGGATGCCGTGTACGCGAACACCGTGTTGTCCGAGGGTGCGAATCCCTTGGACGTCCAGCTCCAGTCAAACGCCGTCCGGCCCCAGCGGCGCTCCTCGGTTCCAAAGTACTGCTGAATGAATCCTCTGGGGCTCTTCTTCTTGGCCGGTTCCCAATTCTCGACGAAAGGCTCGTCCTCCTCGTACTGGCCGAACACTTCCCAGCTGCCGTGCTCATAGGCAAGTTGGTAGTCGTCCCCAAGAGGAACGTCCTCCTCCACCAGGGGTACCTCGTCCGGGCCCGGCGACACCGCCTCCGTACCGGGCGCCGGCTCCGTTTTCACCTTTTCTTCTACCTTGACCGCGTCTTTGACGCCATCCGTCACCTCCAACCGGCCTTCTCCAGCCGCCCGTAGCTCGTCGCGCGTGCTCTTACGTAGAGCGTCCCGATCAGCAGCGGGTGTCACTCCTACAGGAGCCTTCGCTTCATCATCATCATCTTTAACATCCTCCGTCTGAAAGTCTCCCTGACTCTGTCCTTCTTCAGCCGCCTCTCTGGCAGCGGACTGCCTCAGGTCCTCTTCATAGTCGTCTTCCACGTATACCGACATGACACTCTTCTCCAATGCTTCCCTCGTCAAACTCTTGTTCCCAATACTACCTTATGAGCCCCTGGGCTCGATACCAGGAATTCCGCGCCGAATAAACTCCAAACTTCACACTCCCTTATGCGCCCCTGGGCTCTATACAAGGAATTCCGCGCCAAAAATCACACTCCAGTCCCTATGCGTCCGGGCTCGATACCAGACCTCCTTGCACTACGGGATCACACTCCACGACGTCTCCGACGGTTCTTCTTCACAACCAAGACCAGTACCCTGCTTCTCCACCACGTGTCGCGAGCCGTCCTTGGATGGGACGGTCGACGCTGTATAGAAGTAGAACGGTACGGTGATATAAACAGAAGCAACAAGCTAAAGACAAATGTCAACACAAATTTTTTTCTGCTTGTTGTCTCCAAGGAAAATTCACGACCGACCTCTTACATTCTTCCTTGCGACCTGCACTTCGCCCTCCACGGTCCTCGTTCCCGCCGTCAGGCACCGTTTCGCAATCATCGTCCACGATTTTGTACACCACGACAGCGAGGCGGTACCGCCCACCCCACCGCCTCACCGCGAGGATACACAGTCCTTCAGTAGCTCCGGTCCCCCATGACTTCCGTCCTCGTCATCAACGGGGACCGTACGCTCTAGCTGCGCTTGTCCTACGGAGACCGAGGCCGGCCCACAACTTCTCAGCGACTCGTCGTGGCCCTGCCTGCCTTCATCGAATGCGCGGCCCACACGAATCTAGTCGGCCGTCGAAAAGTGCGGAGGAGGGTAACGGAACTCACCGTGCCCAAGACAGTGGCCGCCAGAACCACTCGTGACAATTGTGAGTATAAAGTTACACGATGCGAGCCAATCAGTTCTTTCTGAAGTAAGTAGGGTGTATGTAGTGTATCAGTTCGTGGGGCAGTGAACTATTCGATCCTAGACTGGATTTTAGCAAAATACTTCAGTAGTAACTATTGGGGTTTTCATCCATTTTGGCAAAGCGGATGATCCGAGATCCACTATGTCGGATCCGATTTGCTGAGCGCCGTCGAAATAGATAGTAGGGGTAAGGTAAGAGTGCTATCTCGAGTCGGATATGTCGATGGGCACTTCGAATTAAAGGAGAAGTGCCAGAATTGCCGTCTTTGGACGGCATAAGTGATCTGCCCAAACTCATTTGCTAGAACACTTCCAGTCTAACCGCCATAGGAGAATTATAGCACCCTTTTACTCGGCAATCGCGCTACAGTATGCATACGTTTCGTGTTTTCCTCTTACTCAATAAGTAAAACTGAGTTGTGGGTGGTAAGGTCGTCTGGAGATGACGTCGCCCTCATCATTAAGACCTTAAGTAGGGTCACATATAGCTAATTCAAGTCTTATTACCCTACACCCTGCCCAATTTATTTAAATCTGGCCCCGAGATAACACAGCAAATCGGGCGGCAAAATTGATGAAAACCACAATATTTGTTGTTATCAAATAGCAGTAGCGGTCTGGAGATTGACTCCCATCCATGTCCACAACATGATACATTCATTTACTTCTTACATCTGACTCTTGCTAGACGACTGTACGCTGTGATCGCTACGGAATCCGTCCTGGATTTCCGCAATAGTCATGTCGGACGTCTCCGGCACCATAAAGTAGATGAAGACAATGGAGAGTACCGTCGTACCCAGAAACGGCATGAAGCTGTAGTTCGTGATAGCTTCTTCAACGTACGGGAAGCCGATGCCCACAATGAGCGAGCAGATCCACTTCATGGTGAGACAGATACCAACCGCAGCACCTCGAGCGGAATCTGCGAAGAGCTCAGCCACAATCGGCCAGAGCAACGGGCCGATGCTCAAGTCGTAGCCCACCACAAAGACGCCAAGGAAGACAATCGAGAGCCAACCCACACTGTAAACCAGCGAGACCGTCATGCCGATACAGCACAGAACCATCACGAAGATACCCGACATCAACATGGTACGTTTCCGCATGATCTTCGTCAAGGCCGCAGCAATCGGCACGGGGACAACGTTCAAGATGTCGATGATCATAAGTCCAGCACGGGAGTCCGAAATACCGGCATCTTTGAGGATAGACGACGAATAGAAGAACACAGCGTTGATACCCACCAACTGGTTGATGCAGGTCAGTCCTAGCGCGATGACAAGCGGCTTACGGAGCTTTTTATTGGTCAAGATTGTCCAGTTCGTCTCGGTGTGGACTTTATCCGAGACGCCACTCAACGTCGAAGGGAGCTTGGATCTTCGGTCGTTCGCTTGGATCCAACCCATCATGACGTTGACGTTCTGTGTTCCATACAGACGCGCCAGTTCCTTTTCGGCTTCTTCGTCTTTCCCGTTCGCAACGAGCCACACGGGACTCTCGACCATGAAGAAGAACGACAGGGCTACGAAACCGGCAGCGAAAAGAATCGGCATCGCAGCGATCCAGCGGAAACCGGACGTCGTATTCCAGTACCAGAACGTCGTGGCTACTCCGGAGATACCTAACGTTGCAGCTAAGTGTGTGTTTGTGCCCAAGGCGTGGCGGTTGTGAGGCGTAGAGATCTCGTTAAGGAACGTGTTGACGACAGCCATAGCTACACCGTTCGCTACACCCGTCACAAAGCGACCCACGGCGAACCACGTCGGGTTATTGGCCACGACCTGGATCACAGATCCTAACACCATAAGGATTGCATTGAAGCGAAGAGTAGTGCGACGACCAAACTTGTTGGACGGAAAACCGGACAGTAGACTACCGAACATACCGCCCACAATCCACGCGTTGACCAAGAGCGTCCAGGTCGTGTGTGTGTGACCAGGGAACATAAGGCAAGTGCCTTCTTCCACTGGTCGAGCTTTGCATTCCTCCGTGTTGCTGAAGGTGCTGAGGTTGACTTGGGAGTTGGACCAACCGTAGTGGAAGGCCTCGAGCATGGCGATCCCAACGGACGAATACACGATCCACGTTGGCTTAAGTGAGCGATCCTCGATGCTGAGCATGGGCTCATCGTGGACGTAGACAGGTGGCGTCTGGACGACTGTGTATCCGTTGCGAGGCGATTCGTGCGGCGCCATAAGAGGTTCGAGTTGGGGGCTTGTCAAGGCTTGGGCAAATTCAAAAGTGACTGCTGTGAGCTGGCCATCGGTCACAAATGAGAACATGTACGTGTAGGATGCACCATCGGGAGCGGAAATGCATGCATGCCGATACACTCGGCAAAGAGGGTGACGTCTCAAATCCCCCTGACAGATCCTTCCATTCTAGTGTGCGCTACATGTATTAATCGTTGCCAGGCGATCGTGAGCGATTGCCTACATCTCTTACGGCGTCCACCATGGACTCCACCCTGCAACCACACATCAACCAACTTCAACTTCAGAAATGGTCGACCGGCTCAGGTGCAGCGTTTCGGCTCGGTGCCTGGCTCAGCGGGGATACTTAGTGACACCTAATGTACCGTACTGGAATGATTTGTCCATTGAGTAGAACGCGACAATTGGATATGAGGATGCTGCACGTACCCATCTCCTGCCTCATTGACCGAAAAGGACGAATTTCCACGTACATGTACCATACAATATTCGAGCAATAATTTTATTGCAGCCAAGAAAAAAAGCAAGCTGTACGCTCTCATTTTTAAGTACAACCGTACAGAAACGTATGGTCAAATACTCTTCTCTGCCAAGGAATCCTGATTGCCTGGACGTTTTTCTGAGCCAGCTTAGCTCACAATTAGAACTGGTGTAGCCTTGAGATTAAGTCAATTCCGGCTGTCCCTTATTGATTCGCGGGCCAGTGTATATTGTTGACACTTGGAAATCAGTAAAAGAAATCTCGTCAGCAAATTCATACCGTTGTTAATTTCGCGTTATAACTGGTTTGGCTTTATTTAATCCGTCAACATTGTGCCGAATTTATCGAGGGCGAATGATGCACGCGTTAAAATCAGTCTCCGAGACGTATAGCTGTCAAACACGATGCGGGACTTGCAATCCCTGAGGCCCCCGTGCAAACCACGCCAAGATACTCACCCTTTTTAATCTGGAGAATGCATATAAACGACGAGCTGGTGAGGTGACTCAAGTAGGTACCATCGCAACTTGAATAGGCTGCAGCCGTTGCCGCAGACTATATAACAACGCCGCTCTTCTCCAGCGAAATCGTCCCCACACTGTTACTTCGGCCTGGCACATGGTTCACCAGTACAGCGATTGTGTACAAACCTGGAATGAGAACCTTGATCGAGGTTTTCCCGGAGCCCAGCACAAAATTCTTACAATCAAAAGGCTTCCACTGGAGCTTCATCGAGCTCCAAGCTACGCTTTCTGCGCGCAAAAAAACACGTTTGTCTTGGCCACCTCGGCCACGAAATTTTTCCAGCTCTTCCTGTTGATCTTTCAATTTCGACGCTAAAATGTCGATCTGCTCCACTGCAACCTGCTGTAGCTTGAATACGTAGCTGATTTCTCGAGCAGACTGAAGCAGACGAAGCCTGATACTTAACTCAAGCTGAAGTTGGCCATCACTGAGCGAAACTAGCTTGCGTTGCGCTTCGTCACTGTTGTCCTCCGAGCAGTCCAAGCACTGCTGGAAACACTAACAATGCAAGTACAAATTACTAAAATTGAATAGTACAATAAGCAGCGGCAACCGCACCGATGCGTAGTCTACCGCTGACGCATCCACGAATATGTTCGCAGCAGTCACATAGTCCTCTTTGCTCAGAAGTCCGGATTGCCTGGCGGGAAGCAAAATAAACATCGTTTTATTAGCTGTTATGCGCTTCATTTTACGTGTAGTTAGGCACACATCCAGCTAACCATTGTTTTTTGCTGGTGCGATCTTCAAGCCAAAGGTTCAGCTTTTCATTCTCGAGAGAGATCCGATAGCGAAAACTAACGTTGGAGCAGGTAGGAAACGTCGTTACTCCTTCAACGTCAGAGCTAACTCCCTTGGCCATGGCGAAATTTTGTTGAGGGAAAATTTGATTGTGATAGGTTAACGTCTGCTCCGGAGGATGTCATAAAGTGTCAAAGTGATTTCTTTGAATACCGAAAGATGAGTAAATTTCATGGAAAAATCATTTTTCAATAAGCCTCATCCTGCGATTGACAGAGGCTGAACCTAAGCTACTTAAAGTCTCATTCCTGAATTGACGTCATGGCATTCAAAGACGATATTAAGCTCGAGGGGGTCACGACGTTTTCTTCACTTGTTGGTGGAGCCTTCCGCTATTCAATATTTCTAGAAAACGGAAAACTGAGCATCTGGCTGGAGTCCAAGACATCCAGAAAGCAATGGTAAGTAGGACGGAAGAATCTCTACCAAACAATGGAGCTAACAAACAGTATCGCACTGCTGGAACGGTAAGGCAAACTGGATATTTAAGCAAAGAAGAGTATGTGACTCCTGCAAACACATTCGTGGATGCGTCAGCGGCGGACTACGCTTCGGTAGGATTACATTGTAGATGTACCCTACATGTACACGGTTGTGTCGGGCTTACCATTGTTATAAAATGATAGTATTTCCAGCAATGTTTGGACAGCCCACAAGACAACGATCAAGAACTACATCGCAACCTGGAATCTTGGACCGATAACGGACGTCGGCTTACATTTCACGTCAAGTTTCGACTTTTTAAATCCGCTCGAAGCGCCAGCTACACCTTTAAGTTACAGCCTGCTGCAATGGAGAGGATTGACATCTTGGAGTCGAGGATGAGGGACCAAGCAGAGGAGATTGAGAAGTTACGCAGCCGAATAGATCAAACCGAACACATATATTTTTGTATGTCGAAAGCGCGACCTGGGCGTCGTCGACGATTCGATGGAAGCCCCTGAATTCTGAGAATTTTAAGCTGAATGCTGAAACTTCGTCGATCGTCGTTCGAATTCCGGTATGTACGTGATTGCGGTGCTTGTCAACCATTGGCCAGCTCGGAATAGTTCTTCAGGCACGATTTCGTTGCTGATGAATGATGTCGAGATTCAACGCGCGGAAACAGGTTCTGCCCGCTGTAATGACAGCAGCGTCAAAGATAAGAATGTTAGTCATCGGACCAGTACGTCACTTGTGTGCGCTCAATGAGAGTGAGAGGATTTCTGTTTCGTTCTCAAACACCAATTCCGTTTGCGACACTGCATCATATTTGACAGCAGTTCGCATGGGGCCTTAGCGGACTTAATGGCGCTTGAAATGTTGCTAGCAACGACGCGTTTAATATTCGATTGCATTTTGATTGTGTTGTAAACTGTTAATCTGCTCGTCGCCACATACAAGAACACGTATACTGTTGTTTTATTTTAAAATCAAAATACCGATAGTCGCAGTAGTGGTAGTGCGGGTTGTGTCGTCGTGTTGAGGTTGGAAAAAATTGTGACCAACTCGTTTTATCGATAAAGGACATACCAGCACGGAGCGCCTCTAAGAAACGATTGAAGCACCTTAGGTCCGTACTACGTGACCACAGCACTACCAGGAATATAGACTTTTCAGGCAACATGCATAATTTACCGTCATTCGACTTACTTCAGTGTCATTACGTCGAGACCCGGCTTGAAGCGCTTCTGAATTTGGAAGCTGATAAGATGTTTGATATTATCCAGAAAAATCACGCGTCAATTCACTTTTTTTGCGCTGCACCAGTTCCCAAGTTGCCAGTTTTATCTAATTCACAAATGAAGTCACACCATTTTAATTTTAGGCTACGGTGTTTGGTAATTTGAGTGTTCTGACGCTTGAAGGGTACGCTTTATTCAGAGGAGAAACACTGCCCAAACAACGACTACATCATTCACAGCACCATATCCCCCCATTTAAGCTGTTCTACAGTGAAAAATGTTGCGGAGGGCTTCTTTTTCTTGAAGCGAGTCGAAGGGCATGGCTCATAGTGCTTCAAGAAAAGAAGCCCTCGTCGAAGTAACGTAAGCATTTGACCAGGTTTGCAGCTTGCTTAAAATATGATGGGCAGAAATGCAAGTCGTGGGATAAGCTGCTTTTTTCATGCAAATTGCCAAATACCGTTGAATAAAATTAAAAATGGTGTGACCTTGAATTAGATCACACAAGAACCGGCCATTTGCGTCCGTTTGACCGCGTCGATTCGAAAGTTCGAGTAGACTTGACGGAAATGGTGTGCATGTACAGTATCAGTATTCTGTACATGTAACAGAAATTTTACAGTTCTCCAGTAAAGAATCTTTACTAAACAGCTGTAAACCTTTTTTTAAAGCGTCCCGAACGATTCACGTTGAAGAATGCTGTTGCTGATGCTTAATCAAAGTTTAAGATACCGAGCTGGTAATAGTGGCCGACATAAAACTACTGAGCCCTCCCTACTTACAAACATGTCGCGCCGAACAGCGGTACAAGCAGTTGGTCGATCAAGCTGTTCAGTAGCGAACGCACGAGCTTGTCCAAGACCTTCGTGAACGTATTGTACGCAACCTTCTTCTTGTTTAGCTTCTCAGCGGAGAAGTCCAGGAGTCCATTGATGATATTTGAGATGAATGCGCCAGTGTCGGCGAATTTGAGGTCGATGTTCGTGATCGAGTCCCAGTCCAGATTGAGCGAGGTCAGCGACGCGTCCTTGAAGTGGCGTGGGACAGTGTTTAGAACGCTGGTGAGATCTCCTCCAAGCGCAGCCACAAGAATGGACGTGATCGTCATGTTGGAGCACACAGACGCTGGAACACCTGAAGCACATTGGTACAAATCCGCTTCAGCTCCCACTACAACGGTAGGCTTGTTGAGTCCCAGAGCGACATCCACAGTGACAGTCGTCGACGGACAACTGCTTTGGTGCAGCAGGCTCGTCCAGCAGATTTGGTACCATTTCTTGTCGAGCTGCGTGAACTCGACTGAGAACCTGCCGCTCACTGAGAGCTCACCTTTGAAGTCTGCTCCCAGGTCAAGGGAGTTGGAGCCTGTAACGCTGGCGGTCTTGGGCGCGATGGTCGTTAGACCGGACACATTGAGCCGTTCGAAAGAAGGTGTGGCTTTGAAATTGAGGCCCAGAACTTTTAAGTCGATGCCTTCCAGTGTTTGGTTAGTGACGACATATGGGTCGGTGATGTACATGGGCAGCAGCGCCGGAACGAGGCCCAGCACGTTGTTGAGCCCGACGAAATCGGCCGTGGCAGTCTGAAAGTCCGCGAGCACGCACGTGTCCTCGACGGTAGCGGCATTGGACGATCCGAAGGCAGTGGCTGCAATCGCGGCAGCAAAGGCGAAGAACTTGGCCATATTCAAATACAAAGGGTGTGCTTGAGAAGGCAAAATGAAAAGTGATTGAGTGAAAGCGAAGGCAGTGGAGGTCGCAGAGAGTTGCAGTCTGCAGCTCTTTGCCCATGCAGACTGCACCGGTAAGTGGAGGTGCCAACCACTATCCAAGCAGTAAAACCGGGTCAATGTGTTGCATGTATCTTCGCCAGCATTCAAGTAATCCTCGTTTTGTTATAAAGTATGATACTACGTAGAATTGGTGGGACCTTGTTTCACGCTTACCAAGATGGCTTGACAAGCTTTGTTTTAATTACTGTAAATGTAAAGCTGTGATGATCCACTGTAGCAACAAGCGCCCGTTGGAATGGATCCATTGGGCCACTTTCGTGACTGCTGTGTGCTGGTGTCAGGTACTGAGAAACGGATTCACGTCACCCGGTCTGATCGGATGTATCCTCGAGCGACATGGTACCGGTACATGTACCGGTACTGGTACACTTGCCGGTACTGTAATGTAGCCAATTGTTGAACAGAATAATTTGCGCTTGTGTGGACCACCTCACACGTAGATAGTCGGGCCTTACAAATTTCAAGTGCAAGTGCCTTATAAATTGGAGTTTTTTCTTTCGCTTTGACAGGCCACGTTTTAAAGGCGGAAATTAGGTTTTAGAGCTAAACGGTACAGTCGGACGTGATCCATCACGATAGGTGTTGGACTCGAGACTCGGTCTAGCAAGTTTACTGAGCTGGCGTTTCCGCATTGCCGTGTACCTGCTGAGACCATACGGCTCGTGACAGAAACACCGGGTGTGAAGGTTCTGCTGTTTTTATACTAGGTGCTCAAATCTCAGAATTCAACGGCTTGCGCTCCCTTAATCTCGAATTTGGTTCAGCCTTCCTCCTCGACCCTGCGACTCAGCGCTCCGAGCAACTCTGTGTCTGGATCTCGAGCAACCACAGTTTTACTTCCCGGGGTAGCCTTTCTTCCGTTATAGCGCCGCTCAGTGAGGTTCAGACCCCGCGCGCTCTCTCCTTTCCGCTCGTTTTACCCTGCTTTTCAAGTTCTTCATTTTCTTCTTTGCGTTTCGCCTACATCTTTGTGTTGCACTTACCTAGCAGTTCAGCTTAATTTACCTGCTGCTCCGTCATTTACTACCTGTTTCTTCGAAAAATAAATCGCTGGAATTCGGCTTCATTTGACCAAAGCTAGCCTCTAAACCCGGATAGTAGTAGTAGCGGTATTGTACTATCGAGACTAATTATGCTGAAGCTAGTATCGAAAGCTAGGTATTTGAAAATAGTACCCTAAAATTATCATAGTACTATGCAGATACTTTCATGTATTACTATTACTCATATTAAATTCAGTACTACAAGGTATTATTACAAGTATGACTGCTACTAATAGCAATCGGTATTGTACAGTACACATCCTAGCATCTCTGTAAAAGTATAAAGCAAGGGGAATTGTGTTTTCCACACCAAAGACTTGTACCGGTATACCGCAGCTGTTTCGGTATACACTGCTCCTTGCATTGTTAGAGCAGCAAGCAGTAAAGAAATATCCGCCCCTTTTCGGATAGAGCTGATGGTCATTGCATAAGCTCTCATTAATGCAGCTGTTCGTTTGACCCCCAAGGATTGTGGGACTCCTCCCTTCTGGTACACGTTTTTGAAAATTGTTTGCTTAAAAAACGAACGGTATGATTTGAACCACATTAAGGATGTAGTAATACTTCTGAAGTACTCATAAAATGAGGGTCAAGCCTACTTTTTGAATTTCAGACTTTGTTTCGATAATACATTCGATTTTATTGCTATTTACAGAAGTAATTTTACTTTCATTCAAGTTTTTTCGCTTAAGTCAGTGTGAAACACGGCATTAAGTGTTATTACATTCACACTGCATTTACTCATTTGGAAAGTTTCTTTTTTTGGATTGTCCCTGTCTCGTTTTTTTGTCTTCGATACTACATCGACAATGAGCTTCGTACTCAAATACCTCTTCCTCACATCCAAAACATGGTACTCAATTGCGTAGCCGACGCCCCTTTAGTCTTAGACGCAGCGACGAAACTGGTAGTACTTGTTGCAGAAGTAGCAGCTGCAGAAGCGCTTTCCAAGGGGGCGTCGCCTGAGCCGATGGACGGCAGCCCACCGCCGAAAGACCCGCATAAGTCACCACCACCGAAGCCAGAGCCACCAAAGCCTCCTCCGATCACGGAGCCCCCTCCTCGGCGACCGCCACCCATACCGTGGCCACCTCCAAGGTGACCGCCGAATAAACCGCTGCCCGCGAGACTGAAACCCTCATCAGAGCCAACGTCGTGCATACCTCTGTGGCCAGAGTCGTGACGTCCACGACTGCCGCCCCCGTGCATGGAGCCCGCAGGTCGATTTCCTACGGTGATGCCTTCACGTTGGAGACCACCGAAACTGCCTTGCGCCTCGACGTCGCCTGGGGTAAATTTTAAACCAGAACTGAGTGTGTTGAAGTCGGTATGAGTGACGGTGGAGTCCGTCTCGGCCGAATCCGCAGAGCGCAGCAGTCGCAGGGCGTCTACCGTCGACGACATAGATACAAGAGCGATTGTCGTAACAAGGATTGAAAGCACCTTCATTTCGAGTTGGAAGCTGCTGGTTGGAAAGTGTTGAGGAGGAGGTCAGTTGGAAAGTGAGGAGCTAATTAATGACAGATCGGTGACCAAAACGGCGTGAGTCGAAGTAGCGTCTCTACAATAGAGGCGACCGCGTGCGAATCATATCATATCAGTTCTCGTTCTCGACGGCCAGATGTAGTGTGCACCGCCCACGCTATTGACGATGTTAGCCACAGCAGCTTAACATGCTGGCGATCCGCGGAAGTCACCCGCGGCGATAGCAGTTAGTTTGGTTGTACTTTTGAGAACTTAGCACGACAGAGTGTAAAGTTTGTTGAGGACGAGATCTGTCAAGCACTACCAGCAGGTGCGACTCACCTTCGCGTGCCGTAACAGTCGTACGTCAAACTGCTGTAGTGCGGCATGTATCGCACTATGTGGCTGCTATGGATGTTGAAACCGACGGAAGACGTCAAAAGCAATAGCATTCCCCGTGTGTGTCAATACTTAAGTATTAGTTTCGGCCAGTCTCTCAAAAGGCGAAATGCCATTCGTGAACACGATTGGATCTTGCACCGACAGTATAAAATAAACACATCCCTATTATTTATATACCCTGATAATTATGTTCTAGATTTGATTATCAGAAGTGGGTAATATCAAAAGATAGGAAGGGTTGGTCACTACCGATACGACAATAACGTACTTCTTTTCTTAAATTGCATACTCCTTGATGCACAGTAATGAGAATCAATACATGAGCTGAGGAACGCAAGAAGTGCGTGATACTTGAAGTTCGTAAATTGTAGTCGGTCCACAGAACACGTATTAGGGAAGCTGATGGCTTCCTAGGATCCCTTGCTTGTATTGGTGCTGATTTCACAATGAGGTGTCTGGCTAACCTGACAGTGCTCTGTCCAAGCATGCTCTCAAGCTTCGTCCTCTAGAGGTCCTAGCTACTCTACCACCAGCTCGGCTTCGGAATCTTATCCTACACCCAGTGAGTGAGCCATGTGTTGTACATGAACCCACTACACCGCCCTTCCAAGACTTGGCTCACGAACATCGCTTGTCACCGTCTTGTTGTATACACTGTACTCTTTCATCACGTCATGGCAGCTACAGCATCCTGAAATGCACGGTTCCCTCTAGAAGCTGAGTAGTTCTTTACCATGACAGGTATGTCCTTGTAGAGGCTCGTCATAGACTCCCACGAGTCGTCAATAGGCTCCAAGCCCTTCCACGAGACGAGTATCTCGAATTCGTGCTTGCTAGTGTTCCATCTGTGCTCGAGGAGCGAGGCGACAGTAAGAATAATTCCCTGCGAGGCCACGTGCTCTCGAATTTCTTCTGTAACTTCAAAACTCTTGTCTGCGTGGAACTCCAATCTGGAACTGTGCACATCTTGTTCTGCGCCGGTAACCAGGTGTCGTACTCTGAAAGAGTTCTCCTCAGCTTTAACGACTTGGTATGGACCTATCCATGTCACCAGTAATTTGTCGCTGTGCTTCTGGTCCACTCGAGATCGTAACACGAAGTCTCCTTCATCGAAGTTTGGCTTCAATGTATGTTTAGGCTTCCGTTGGTTTCGCTTCGTCTGCTTCGAGCGAGCGTCGATCACCTTCTTATGCATAAGCTGAGCACTCTCTCGTAGAGCCTCTAACTTAGTTTCAATGTGATCTGGCAGCTCACCCAGATCCACCAGTCTCTTTTGATCTTCGTTCAGATAGAAAATGAGAGGCGACACCGCAGGAAGCACGCAGAACAGCTCCACGGGAGCGTGATTGCCCAACGAGGGCACGGGTGTATGGTTAAGGTTGGCTTGAAGAGCTGCAACAAAGTAAGTCCAGTCCTTGATGTCGACCTGATACTCCAGACACATTGCCCTTAGCACCTGGATGATGTCCTTGTTCAGTCTCTCAACAGATCCATTAATCCATGGCGAATACGCCAACGAAAACTTCTGGTTTGAGTTGAGCCGCTTGCTAACTTCACTCACAACCTCATTCTTGAAGTGCGACCCGTTATCGCTAATCCATAGCCCTGGAGCCCCGAATCTGCTATGCCAGTCCATTATGGCCTGTGCCGCCACCACACTGGTCGGTACGATGCACGGAACCAACTCACAGTAATGGGTAGCGTCGTCTTTCATCACGAGTAGATAAGCGTAGTTGCCGAACGACTTGCCCAAATGCAAGTAGTCCCAATGTAACGCTTCGTTCCTCTCATTGCTACGAAAGGTTTCTGCCCAAGGTCGATGCACGATCCTTCCCCCCTTCACATGGTGGCACATCAGGCACCCACGAAGGAAATTGTCCACTCGTTCACGTAGTTTAGCGATAGAGAAGCGTCGCTGCATGATTTCCATCAGAGAGTCACGACCACGATGCCCTTGTGATCCGCAGTGATCCACAACAAGCAGTCGCTGCACAATGCTCCTATCTTCG